TTAAATTATAACTGAAATTAAATTAAAAGTTAATTCTAGAAAGCATCATTTATAATATTTATATTACACTATATAGATGTAATTTTTCAAAATTAGATTACTTTAGCGAGATTACTTAAGCGATTATTGAGCGATAATCACAAAAAGGAATATAAAAAGTTATGATACGGAATAAAGAATTTTAACTTGAATAAAAGCTAAAAAGTTAAATTTAATGAGTTTTAAAAAATAGTTGAAGTTAAAAATTAACTTTTTTACTTTATTACTAACAAATTATTTCCCAATCTTTGTGTAATTATATGATATTATATAATATATAATAATATATATATATATATATATATACACATATAAAATTGTAACACCGTTCAAAGTATAAACAGCAATTTCGCAGTAGAATTATGCGTTACTGCGGCAGTAATGTAGAATAAAGTAACAAAAGATCGCGCATCCCGTTTACATTCCATCCCATTGACGGCCAGCCTCAACAATGATGGCCGCGTCATCGCGAACGCTTCGCAATAAAACATTCCCTTTACCTACGCGCTACCATATTAAAGTCTAAGTCTTATTCGGTAGAACTTTCTCGATATTATACGTACTATTACGTCATAAGATTTAAGCGACGCATCTGTATCGCACCGCAGACTATAGAGATAGTTAATCTTCGTGCGTGACGCGGAGCGGTTCGTGATTGCAGCGTCTAATCCTTGTAAGCGTTGATCGCAACATCTCTTGAAACTTAATAAAAATTGGCACGTGACTGAATCCTCTCTTTCGGGCGCGAACGCGAAAATTCCATTAATAATCTTGTTATTATCATATATAATCTTGTTATATTGTGGAATCTCAATTAATAATTTAACCGAGATTAAACGATCGTATTTTTTCAAGAATAATAATATTATATTTATTCCATTTATCGATTTAATAGTGATAATTATATTACTTTGAGATTAAAATGAAACCCAGCAAACATGAAGTTACATGTAATATAAATGTTGGTTGTAACTGCCCATTCAGTCTAACTGTTACATAACGTGTGTGTTATATGCACAGTTACACTGTCGAGTGGGAAATTACAACTGACATTTATATCACATGTAACTTAGCATTTGCTGGGAATAATACATAGTATGATTCGCACATTCGTGAGATGCGTTGAATTTTGGAAGACGCTGCAATCGCGGCCGCCGGATGTTTCTGCAAAAAATCCTCGTTACGATACTGCACCTCACATGTTATCGCATCGCGACGCACGGTTTGCTTTACGTTTATGAAAAATCGGCAAGTCTCGTCTCGGTATTCGGCTTTATCGCCGATCCGTTTTTGTTTTTCTTGTTTTCTTTCTCTTCTTTTTTTTTTGTTTTTTTTTCTGTTTTATTCGCGTTACAAACGTTCGTATATACAAGGCTAGGCGCGTGTTTGCTATCCAGTCCTAGGGATGATGATTTCCACATGTACGAAGAACACTTCCGCCGACCGATTCGCGGCCGGATCACAAAATCGGGCTCTGTGTTCTCTGCGTGTGCTGTGCTCTGTGTGTGTGTGTGTGTGTGTGTGTGTGTGTGTGTGTGTGTGTGTGTGTGTGTGTGTGTGTGTGTGTGTGTGTGTGTGTGTGTGTGTCATGACGAGCAATAGTAATAATATTAATATACATAGAACACCATTATAAAAATGCTTACGACTAGGTCTGTGCGTTGAATCTCTTAAAATTACGTCCGACTTTCTCGTACAACAAGGAACCATCGTGTTTCAATTGCATAGGGTCGCCCGCGATAGAACGATTCCCGAATTTCTCTTCTAATTGTGACATGTATTATTTTATTGTTGTTACCTGGCCACGTCGCATCGCGAACGCGTGTGACATTCGACATGCGTTATTTCTCCACTTCCTTGTTGTACTCGCTTGAAAAAATCGCGTTAAAATCCTATCGCAGCAAATGATATCCTGGCGAGAATTGCGTGCCGCGAATCTTGCGTTCGCATTTTTCCTCGCAGAAAAACGACAATCACGATAATCACGGCGAATTTAAGAATGATTTTAAAATATTATCAAGTCGCGCCTCTCCTCCCCCGCCCACAGCGCTAAAATTTCTCCCGCAAATAGAATTTATGTCATTTATATTTAACGACGATCCCTAGTCTCCGAAATTAAGGCAAATATTCAATAGGAATCTTACGGCAAATGCGAACCTTTTTAGATCGATAAACAGTGGACAGTTCTTATATATTCCTTAATCGTTATCTCCCTCAACCCCTTCGCGCGTACTCGCTAGAGAATGTGACGATAAAAATATATCTCTACTCATAGCCGACTCGGTAGATATGTTTCCTCCTCAAAGCTGCATTTCGCTCGAAATAAGTATTCTTGCGGAACGAGCTCGAGCTGCCGAGACTTAAACGAGACTACGAAAATCCAATCGATATTTTATTATCATTTCTTTGCAAACGATGTGTGTTTCGTCGAGCGCCAATTTGCCAACGAGATTTCCCTCCATTAAACGACGAGAACAATTAAATCTCGGAATTACGTTTTAGGTCAAATTCATAAATATACGCGTATTAAAAAAATCTGCCTCGTAATAATAGTCTAAGGGTACGAAATACTTTACGGATACACTTGTAAAGATAAACCTAAACGAGATGTACCCTCTTTTTTTTTTTTAGCGTACAAAGTGGATAAATGCGATCTGAATCACTTATCATTAATCTCCTACGGTATTTTGATTTACATTTCTATATTAGGCGATCATTTCCGCGTTGCTTCCGCGGTCACGAAATAAGAAAATTTATCCCCTATTTCTTCTCCCTCAGAAATCCTCGAGTCGGAGACGATGGATCAGATGGAGACGGATCGATAAATCGCCGCGTGGCGGTCCATGCAAAAGGCGGAGATCAGCATTCCTGGATGTTCTCGTAGCCTCGCGCCGACCTCGTTTCGGCGAGAATTTATAAATCAAGGTCCCATATCCTGGACGAGTAATTAGAAGCTCCGAAGTTCCGAAGGTAAGAGCTAATTGCGCCTGGCGCACAAATTTTTGCCGAGAACTTGGAAACCCAATGAGTCAGGCGTACACACACACACACACACACACACACACACACACACACACACACACACACACACACACACACACACACACACACACGACAACAACATATACACATATACATGCACACGCACGCACGTATGCACTGCTGATTTTCACCTTTTGCATGCCGCTCTGTATGTATTATATCGATCTCGGTATGTTTCATTGCTCGTGAGGTTCGTCGTTACTCATCCCGGCGTGCCGTGTCATTTTACCTTTCCGCAACGATCTTGACATTAGACGGCCTATCGGCATGGGGCTATACATATCGCGCACCTCTCGCTAAAATTTTATGAAGAAGTATTCGCGCGAGACTCGCGAGAGGATCCTTTCCTTTTACGCGCGTGATTTTATATATTTCGCTTCTTGTCCCCCCTATATTCCTCCCGCTGAGAGAATGCGCTGAGAACAAATCGCTAAGATTTCCGAGTCCTATCATAGATGTATGTTATACGACGCTATATAATATGTACTTATGTTACTTTATGTTATTTTATCTAAATTATGAGATTATGAAGATTCGCGACAGAGTTACTCGATATTCATCGGTACTCATTCACTCGTGAATTGAACACAATTTAGTCTTTGAGAAAGTAACACCCGCTGTTATAACTTTTACAGTAGAATCGCTTTTTTTTTTTTTCAGAATCATTAAACTACAAATCCCTTTTGCAACGCGAAAACATATCACTGATAAAACTTCAACAACAATAATAATAATCAAACTGCAAAAAGCGTACTGCAGTGCAAACGTAACGAGAAGATTACAACTTTCCGGATCCTTGCAGCAGTGGCTCGAAATCGAAAATACGCACGCAAAACGATCGCGGTGTAGAGTGCGAAGCACGCGCGTTTCTCAAAGACGCCTCTGCGATTTTCCTAATTACACATCTGTAAAAACCATTTCGCTCGACGGCGAGACGCCCGGCGACGGAGACTCTCCGATCACCGTCGGGGATGCTTTTGGTGAAATCTACGTGTCGTGCATCGTCTATCTCCTTGCTTAACGTCGACGAGTATGTCGTGCCTCTACCCTCGAGGGACCACCCGCTCGCGCGGGTTTCCCTCCCTTCCCCCCTCTCCCTCCCCCCCTCCCTCCCAGCTGCGCGGTGCACGCGTTAGAAAAAATGCGTGTGGAGGCCCGTGTGCGCAAAGGCCCTACGCTAACATGACGGCGGCGGTGAGTGCACATCGATTTAAACCAAACTATGCTCGCGCGTATCGTAATGATGCGTGTACAGAATGGAGGAACTTGGTCCTGGCGACGCGGCAGACGACGGCGGTGTGGTGGTGCTCGAGCACGGCGGGGACGACGACAACGCGGAGGGCGGTGGTGCCCTCCTCGAGGCGATCGGTACCTAGGTGTTGTGGCCCTGCCGGTGCGGCTTGTTCTCCAGATTGTTGGACGCCGGCCGGCCGACGAGGTCCTCGAGCTCGTCCGGGGTCAGGACCGTGAAGTCCCTGTCGACACAACGTGATCAACGCGGTGGTGGACACGCGAGATCAAACGGAAAAAAAAAAGTTTGTCTTGAATCGAGACAAATATTCTCTTATGTGAGCAAGAATTTAAGATTATAATCTTTTTAAAAATTTTAGTCTGAGAATGTATAATCTTGATTTAAAATTATTTTTTTCCGTGGAAGAATCGCATTTCTTTCGGGCAAATAGTTGGGGTAAATAGTGTCCTCGAAAAAATATCGCACGTTTTTAAAACGGTCATTATTTTTTTTTTTTTTTTCATGAACTCATACTCGATTTTCGACATCGCGAAATTTGAAAAACGTTCATAGAATACGCTAGAATTAATACGATTTTTGTACTTGAATAACGTATCGTTCTACTTTTTTTCCTGCGTACCAGGTCAGCGATGCGCGAAATTGAATTCTCGCAAACACGACGCGTCGATGATTGCGCCATTTTGGAAATAGAAGAGAAAAGAGCCGAAGAAAGGAGTCGCTGATTGATCGCGTTACCTGTGCTGGGCCAGCAGCATGTCTATACTGGTGACGCTGCGCTGATGGGTGCCGTCCTTCTGGGCCGCGCTCTGCCTCCTGATGCAGATGGCTCGCAACGGCGCGAGGATCATCCCTATCATCAGGAGGCAGCTCCCGGCGAGGATCAACGCCGCCGAGTTCTGAGCGGCCTCTGCGCCCGGCGCGAGTTGCACCAGACCGACGACCAGCACCACCGCTCCCAGCAGCAGCGAGCCGACGACGACGTACAGCGAATTGACCTGAAACGTAGTTCAATATTTACCTGAACTACGTCTCTTCACGATGGACCCCAGCGGGGAACGGTGAGGCGACACGAGAGTCCTTACCTTTCCGCAAAAATAATATTCCGGCGGCTCCTTGTCTATCATCGCCAGCACCGCTTCGCTTTCCGCCAGCGGACTACCCGGCTGGCTGTTTCCTATCCGCGAGCTCTTCTCCTGGTAATAAGTCTTGTGGAAGACCTTCACCGAAGGTACCGGCAACGCCGTGATCATTCTAAAAGAAGAGATCAAACGACGAAAAGAATAAGAGGCTGAGGAAGACATGCTCGATATAACAATCGAATTATATCATAATGAAGTTCATACGCTTTCTCTATTTTTATAGAATGATTTTGTTGAAATATCTAAAAATATGGCTACATACAAATGAAATATTCTTAAACATAATTATATTACAAAAATTTTTTATATTCTATAACCAATATGAATACATCATACATAATTACTTCAATGACCCAACAAAATTATTTTTAATATTTATTTAATTTTTAAATATTTCAACAAAACTGTTTTTTCTATGTAAATATTCATGTATCTCTTATGACTGTTATAATTGATAAATATTAAATATTATATTGTACTGTGTCATATCATGAATTATTACTTCAATGATAAAATTTAATGAATGTATTAGCATGGTTTATTTATCTCATATAAATTCATGATAAATTTGTAATTTAATTTTATAGTTTATTATATATATATATTGTTATATATTGTTAAGTACTATTAATCAACAATAATGCATGAATATTAATAATAAAAAAATAGAGAACGCGAATCGAATATATTAATAATATATTATAATATACATGCAAGTCTTTGTATATAAAAACATTAGGGCTTACGATCAGACGCAATAAACTCGAATAAGGGGAAAGACATAGAAATAGAGAGAATAAGGATATACAGAATAAGGAACAGAAAATTAAATTATTCTTTGGTTGTGTGTATTAAAGCACGACTTGCAATATGTTAAAACTAATTTCCTGTTCCTAATTCATCATATTTGATTTTTTTATTTCAGTTGGTTGTATCTGAGCTGTACGATCATGGTAGAGTCTCAAGCTTTAATTTTATGGGAATTCGAACGTCGGATTCTTCACATCGAGGGATTAACGCTGGAAATATTACGTAGTCGTTCCCGCGAGCGCGAAGTGCTTTGGTAGTCGGATGTGCAACGGCGATGGCGATTACTGGCAAACGTGGTGGTGGTGTCGGTGGCCTAGATACGTTCTCGGGGGGGCGATGGCCTTTGTACCTCGATTATCGAACAACCGAAGCCAGCACGGGGGTGCAGGTGTACACCGTTGAAAAAAAAAGAAACGTACGACAGATTCTCCATCTCTCTCCCTCTTCCGTAATCCGAGAAATTCGAGAAATTAGGTGCGATCTCGCGTGACTGCGTTCACGAGGAACGCGAGAATATGCAGAAAAACACGTCCCCTACGACCTCTCGCACCTCCCCCCCGTGCAAATTGCGATAATTGAACTGCCGGGGGGAAGTGCGACGTTTCGTGTGATTTAAAAAAGCGAAGTGTCGAACGCCAAAAGCTTCGACTTCTTCGCGGGAGTGCGCGGGGGTGCGCGCATAACATAATCGGATATACAACTGTTATCGCTTTAGAAAGGCGTAAAGTGGAACGGTGGCCTGATTCCCCGATGTCATGGTTGCAGCTCCACCACGTGCGTCGGTATAGAGTAGGCCGAGTTATAGGCGTGCGCGAATGTGCAACTAGTATTATCTCGTAGCCTGGATTCCTGCCAGAATCTTGAAGGATACGAGACAGCGAGCGTGAGGGGGAGGAGGGAGGAAAAGGATATCCGACGACATCCTGTGGACAATAAATCTCCGCGTGCGAGTCCCTCGGTCACGAACTTCTTCATACTTTCCTTCCCCCTTTTCCTTATTAAAGAAACGCACGCACCTTCGCGATTCGACTCGAAGCTGGGCAACCTCGCTACCTCGAGGTGATTCACCCCTGGAAGATACCAACTCGCGGGCTGTTGGGCGACGCTATTTTATCTCGGGCAAATTCGAAGAGAGCAAAAAAAAAAAGTAAGGAAGAAAGACACACGCCTCCGTGACGATTTTTACGATCGCGATGATATTCAATCCGGCGATCGTAAAGAAGGCCTGAAACGTCGATCGAGCTTCCACGAAAAACGAGGAGGGAAGGGGATGGAGGGGGAGGGGGGGGGGGCATAAATTTACGGCAACGACCTATACTTCTCGTGCATTGACTCGCCGTGCCCGTTGCCTTGGGCCGCGCATTGCTTCGCCGTTGATATTCGCCGTTTGGCTGCGCTCCAGAAAAATAGCTATAACAGTTTCCGATAATCGAGGTTACCGTGCACGCCACATGGACGCCGTCGCGATTTCATTATAAGCCCCGGCAACACGCCGCCGCTCCGTCGTGAGAGAGGAAGGCCGAACCACCGCGCGCCGATGGACATCAATATCTGTCGACTGTCGCGAACGTGACAGATGACAAATATTCCACTCGAGCGCGTCCGGTTGATGTGTACAACCGAGCTGTCCGCGGCAGCTCCCATTTGAGATGCGCCAATCTCGCAACGGGGGGGCGGGGGGCGGGGGGAGAGAGAGAGGAGGAGGATCCTCGATCTCCTCCGGGGGCTTGGATATCGGACTCGGTATTTTTGTTTTCTTTTTTCCTCCCCCTCTCTCCCCGCCATCCCCTCAAGGCCGTCAAGGCGAAACGCGAGCAACGTCGAGAACGTTGCACTAAAATCTCAGAAGATCGATAAATGGGTCATCATTGCACATTTAACATCCAAGGGGAAATTTCACGCTTCGCCGATAAGCGTTCAACCGCCGAACCAGGCGATTCTATTTCGAGACCTCGCCCCTAAAGCTTAAAAAAAGGAGAGTAACGCCTAAATCTGAGAGTCCGCGCTGCTTGTAAATAATAAATGTGGGTTAGCTCTACACACGCCACGATTGCGACGTTATACGCAAGAGGAGGAAAGGCGAAACGTATCTACGATAACTATAACTCCGATTGCCCCACATTTGTTCATCTTAAACCTAACGTAAAGATAACTAATGGCGATTCGCGAACCATATACACGAATGTTTTTTTTTTTTTTTTTTTAAATATCAATATTTTCTCACATCGACCCGAAATTTCGTATTGATACAAAATAAAAAAAAGCATCACATTTTAAGCATAATAACTTTAAAGCATAATTACACGAGCGTCTGTGTGATGTATTTACCTTTTGGTGCAACCCCGTGATGAGAGATCGCCGGAGAGTCGATCCCCATGTCAAATTTACGATGTTAAACGTGATTAAAAAAAAAATCAGGGTATCCAGAAATATTTATACATGTGAGATAAAATCCGTTTCTCCGCACTTCCATCGTGTTTTCCACTTACTTCGTGCAGCTGAATCCAGGATCGCTCGTACGCGAGAATATGGCACCTCCTCTTCGGCTCGCGTCGTCTTTTCGTCGCGGCCGTCGCGAGATATTTCACGCAAGAGAGAGAGCGAAGAAAGAAAGAGAACGAAGGCCCGGAGAACGGCGTCTGGAGAGGATCGAGAGATAGAGAGAGAGAGAGAGAGAGACAAGAAAGAAGGAAGAAGAAAAGAGGAGAGACGAGGGAGAAGGAAAAACGGGAGCACCGTAGAAGCGGTCGCGAACGTGAAGGCGCTTAGCGAAAGCTGTTCCAACGGGGGTGGTGGTCCCGCGACTACTGAACCTTTCGAGATTCGCGTATCCTGATCGATAAAACCACCCCTCAGCCAGCCGCCCACCAGGGCTAAAAGTATCGTCACCAATGACGACCACCTGGTGCGCGTTGCGCGCGCGCACGTGTACACGTCGGTCCATTTTACGGCGACGTGACCGACGTTTCCAAAACAAACGTTCCTCCCTTTTTCTCCCACGCAATCTCCCTCCGTCCCTCCCCTGAGACCACATCAAATCGGGATTCATCGCGAGAGAAATCCACGACCGTTTGAATCCTTTGGATACGATGCAATTAAATCCTTCACACAAAAACAATATTTCCCTGGTTCAGATAGAATTTTAAATATTATAGTAAAATATATCACTCTTTTTGCATTTGCTGGAAAATTTTCTGTCGTACGTAGAATTTATAACAGCAAAAAGATATGAGTGATTATTAATTGATTGAGCGCCACAGGCAGATTTTCTTGCTAAATTTAACAAATTGTTTAGATATAAATTTCTATCTCTGTCATTTATATTGATTAGATACAAAATACATATGCGATATCACAATCATTTATCTTCCTAGTCATTTATCTATTTTAACTAATTTTTCATATCTATTAAATAATTTTTGTTATAACAGCAAATGCAAAATTATTTTGTTAATTCTCTTGATATTCTCGGTGCCCCAAATAATGGAAATACTTTCGATATTATCGAGAAACTGCAAATTCTGCAGAGCTTGATTCTCTGCATTAATAGCGCCAGGAAGTTCGAAGAGAGCAGTTTTGCTGACAAATCTAAAAATTTGACCAAATAGACAGCCGAAAATAATTTTGTTGGGCCTTCAAAATTATTATATATGACATTCAAATTGATTGCTAGAAGATCACAAATTTTTGCAATATTACTGTCACGTTTAAGTATTCTACATAATAATTTTGACGGTCTAACAAAGTTATCTTCAGATCTATATCCAGCCAAATTTTTAGATTTATCAGCAAGACTATTTTCTCCGTATCTCTCTAGAAACAGATACGTTTACAATGGTATTTACAACAAGACCGCTTGCTGTTAGTGAAAACGTTTTATTAAACTCTGAAAGTTAAAATAGCGATAGAGTTGACTTTTGCTTACAGTTTTTTTTTTTTGTTTAATTGTAGAATCACATATATGGTTAATATCGCCCGGTTCTCGCGGTAGCGCGATCTCGATAGCGACGTTTCCGTTCGTTAAGAGCGCGCCGTCAAGCCGCTTCCTCGAGGAAGTCGTTCGTGGATGACGAGAGCGATCGCTGTCGATGAGAGATAGCTCTCTCGCTACTACAGGAGACTCAGGCAAAAGTGTGGTGAAACTTTCATAATCGCCGTTCGGCCACGCGAACAGAACGTTCATAGATTTGCAGATATGGCTCTGCGCGTGTGTAACAGTATAATTATAATTATATTTTATATTTTATATATAATATATATATATATATATATATATATATATAGTAGTAAGAAGTAAGTAGT